GTCGAAAGAAACGTCGTAAACGGGTTCGCCCGATATTGACAGGGGCATAGTTCCTCTCTATCGGTAGGGATGTGGAAGCGTAAATTTTTATTTTTTTTATTTTTTATTTGTTTATTTATTTATTTCATCAGAATGACCATTATTACAGAACTTATAACAAAATACAATAGTAGTAATTCTGGTGTGGACCGTGGAAATAGTCCTTATGGACTAGTCCAGTCCATGGCCCAGACTGTCAAGTAGAAATTTACGTCAAGCACGATGATTCTAGCATTGTGCACGTGAACAGCTTCCTGTTGTTAATGACAACGGAGTGTTATACTGTTACGTAATCATTCTATTATCGTTTTATTATTTAATTGTGCTTGAACTAAATCGGATTAAAAATACTGTATCCACTCTAACGTAATGCAGCACAGGAGTGCCACAATGAATACACGGCGTTATCTATCTACTCACTGTCCCTCCACCAGGTGTTGAGGGACTGTGATCTACTGATTGTTTGTTCGTTTCTATGGTAATAATATTGTTCTGTTTACGACCCACTAACATGACCTTTTCTCAAACAAATGTTTTTTTACCCAACAAATATTTTTATTTCAAATTTGATACTTAACTAACGACATTTCAATTAGTGTGTAATGTGTGTTATAGTAACATTTTAATCAGATCATTGATGTACGATTAGCATTTTAATAAAAAAATTCAATAAAAATACACACACAAGTCAACATAATTGCAGCCTTCTTAGATTTCTTCTATATGTTTAAGGTGCCAGTGTGTTGACTTTGTGTTGTATGATATGTTATAGAACCATTAAAGGACGATGGTCGTCATGCAGTGAGTGTTGGAATTTTAACAATTTATTTTACACTCGTTGTATACGTCGCTATGAGTCCCATATCGAACATGACGCGACGCGACAACCACCGCCCTTTAATTTGACACGGAATTCAGAAATAGACATAAGACGAAAAGGCCCACCGAAATCTTATTCAGAGCCAGAGAACCACAAGCCAGGTGAAGTAATTTGTGATAAGAGCGTAAAATAACTGAAAACAAACCTTCCAACAAGGTCGAAAAACACTGGCGCGCTGAGCGTTGATACGCGTTATATTTCAATGGAGGGCGCGATTTCACAATGGCGACTCGATAGCGTTGTCTATGGCGGAACTTGCCGTTACGTAAACTCTCAACATTTTTCTCGAAAACAGTTCGAACAAAAAAATGATTTTGCATGATTCAATGCTGAATCAATTGAAACACTTCTGGGAACGTATTTGAAAAAAAAAACCTCACCGTTTATGGATTTCAAGAGTGGCAAACACAAATCTACACATATATTTTATTTGCCATTTTCCTTGGCATTTCTCTTATTCTGAATTAATAGGAGGTGGAACAAGTGTTCTATGGTTGTCAATTTTGCTTATGTGTTGGCTCACAGGAACTTAAATAGCAAATTTATCGTGTTTTGCTAACGATGTATTTATGTATTTATTTGTATTTGTATGGAAAGAGTCGTAAATGTCGGCAAGTCATTAAAATCAAACGGTAACGAATTTGTTAGGCTAAGTTATGTATCTACTTTAAATCGTGTTCCGTTCTCTGACGCCAGCACGTCTACTGCTTTCCTTTTCTATGTAATGAGAACGCCATGACAGGAGAAAATGGACGGGGGAGTCAAGTCTCGTGTCTCTCTCGGTATTAAGGAGATCTCGGCGACATTTACATATAAGGTCCAAGTCAGTAACGATGAGCAATACAACATTGGGCCTAAGTTAGTTATAGTGTTTTAAAAATGACGACATGTATAATTTCAAATGTGTCAGCCCGAGTAATTGGTCGTAGCGTATAACTTCACCATCTCTAACATTCGGTATTAGCGTTTGGCGTGAGCATACCTAACACAGGGTCGTAGCGTAACATATATTATATAAACTGCGTCATCATTTTCATAAATTCATACTTTGGTTAAAGGGCGGTAGTAGTCGCGCCACGCATGAGTGAGATATATGGGTCTCATAAAACATGGCGACTTTGGCTGTTTTGGCAGATCAACGAATACAAACTCAGACGTTAGCAAGCTTTAATTGTTTTTTTAGGTGATTGGAAGGTATCGAAAGAGTCACCGGCGTTAATTAGTGCAAGTCGCGCCCAGGTCAAACCTCAGACTTGTGATTTCCATTAGAAGAGCGCATTGGGTTGTGGAAAAATCAATGTTTATCAACACAAATGTCGCACATGCGCGGCACGACGACCACCGCCCTTTAAAATATTTACTGTGGGGCATACATCCCATAGATCGTTGCCGTCCATATCAATTACTGTCCCCAATCATTCCAATGTTACCTTTATGATCGTGAAGACCGTGTTTGGTTCCAACCCAAATATGTGTAATAACTTTGCCCATTAACTATACCTCCTGCGTGTATACCCCCACGTGACCAAAGGCGGTTTGTATGTAGCCGTGACCCTACGTGGATCTTGGCTTACGGGATAACCGTTAGAACCTCGGAGTGTGTATGCGTGGAAGGAAATGAGGCTAGAACATTCAATTCACCATACCGCGTTTCTTCATTTAGGTTTTAGAAAGCTTTTTTTCCTTTACTTTTCTCTATCAAATGTGTTTTTGTGTTGTGTATAAACATATTTTTTTCTGTCATTTGTTGATGTACGATTTGTTTATTGTTTTGTCTGTGCAGATCTACCCCGATGCATCTATCTTTAGAACAATAAATACTAGAATATTAAATCAAAATATATACGACTTTCGATATTTTTATTATTTCGTCAGGAGAGTGCATTACCGATCTAATGAAGTGGGAATTCATGAATCAGTCGCTGAAAATACGTGTTTTTCTTTTTCCGGCGATAGAATAAAACAGCTGTGGCACACTTCCAAGCATGTTCCAAGTAACTCTCGCGTAATTTCACCCGATCGGTACAACAGAGAGGTGCCCTGGGTCTTCTCCGGGGAGGTTTGAGCACGGATAATTTCGGAATCACATCAAAGAGTTCACCGACACGATGCAAACCGTCCCCGGGGGTAATAGAAAAATAAACCGACTCGGCTCGGTAACTCGCAACTCGCTGGTTCGTATCACAACATTTGTGTAGAAAAAGGCGATACTCTACACTTCCTGAATAAAGGGGATTATAAGAAAACGAAGATCGGTATACGCGTCAAACCGCCAAACCAAACAGAATTTTAACTTGAATGTATTAGCCATTAGCGTGTTTCCAATAATACTGTTATGGTCGTGTATTCGACCCAGTAAAAGGGGAAAAAATTATCGATTATTAATTTCTTGTTTCCAAAAGTTGTTAAATTTACGAGTTTTTCACCCGGGACGACATACTTATTTTGGAGAAAAAAAATGAAAATTCTGAGATACGATGAGAGCTTTTGACAATATATTTCTCAAAATTCACCATTTTCATGGTTGTTTATCCCCGTGTTTTTGAGCGAAAAGAATATTTTTATGAACAAAAGCTTAGAATTTAACCATATTGTCAAAAGTCGAGGAAATCTGATCATCTGCTTCAACAGTGGATGAAATAGCCCAACCCATGTGGTATGAAGGAATGGACATATTATTTACGCGTTGGTGTTTTGAACTTAGATGTACAGCATAGCAAGACATGAAAGGGCGTGGTTATCGCATTGGGCCACATGTGCATTACCCCCTCCCCCTCCCCACACACACCGCACGCCCACCCGCCCGCAACGAACTGTTGTTGTTTTTTGGTTCACAGGGAAATGCACTGACGCGAACAGTACCCGTACGTATATATCTCAAACGGCGACGGTTCTTCTGTGTTTGAAATCGACTTTATTGTTTAGCAAACTTCGCCTGTGTCGTACAACGCAGCCAACCCCGACCCGCGCTGGTTTCAAATGTTACACACCGTGCTTTGGTAATACAGTCGACTGTATCGATATCAAGAAACACGGACAGAAACACCGCCTAGACATTAAGAACAACGGCGAAACTGTTTAACCCCGCGGAGACCGATAATGTAAAAGCTGGCGAATAAAAGCACTGATAGTTATGTATCTACGAGGAACGCAACAGTTGTTTGATCAGAGATAAAACGGCAAATTGTGTGTAAGATCATATCAAAGCAAGCCGACGATATTTGTTTGTAGTAGTTGTTGAGATCACGAAGGGAAGGCGTTATTGGAAATAGGCCAAGCAGTGCGCCACTTTGTGTGGGTATATGGCGTGGGATATTTGACTCCGCTGACAGTGTTGTCACTATTAATTTAACGCTGGCCGCACTGAGTATCATTACACCTAAACCCTTCAAATTTACCGTCCGTTGACATTTCTACTCAATAAACCATAAATTATACATTTCCCCCATCGGAATACATTTTAATAAATATATGCATTAGTACTTCGCTGACCGAATTAAAATAAATTGTAAAACAAAACTATTTTATTCATGCTGTATTTTCTGTCAGGCGGCGCTCTTAGCTGAGACTTTTAATCAAACTCATTTAAAACGCTATAATGTAAAGTACAATTGATATCAATATAGTAAAGACTCGGCAATCAGTAAGCACGAAATGAGCTGGAGCGCCTCGTGGCAGTTGAGTGGTGAAGGTATCCGGGAAGGGGGCATCACTCCTCGGGGCAATACACGAACTAACGGACAGAGAGATATTTCTCCTTTTATTCGAATTATTGCATGCCGCGGTGATTTCTTTGATAAACGTATGTGTACATACGTATTCAACGGGTTGCATTTTTTTGGTAACAAGTTGAAGAACGTAAATCAGTCTTTCACACGAACTAAAGCACGGGCCGCAAGGGTTAACGATATATTCCTAAGTTGACAGACCGCCCTGTTCATGTTACGCTGCTCGACTTCAGCATAGATTATGCAAATGAGGCGGCAAACGACTGAAGTCATTCGTGGGCGGGGATAGCCTTGATGGCCACGTGACCGGCAATTGTGAAGTCGGAACCGCCACAAAGTGAAGTGAGGTTTGATGAGTTACAGCCCGATGAAACGGCAACACTGGAGTACCTCTACGCGAGTACTAGGCAGGGTAATCGGTCACAACTGATTACGGGACAACCTACAACTAAAGTCAAACCGCTATAACAGTCCGGAATTCGGGATCGTGGACGAAAATATGTCCCGTTTGGGGTGTTCTTCGTGGCCAAAATGATACATTATGTGACCGTAACGTTGGTGTTTCTGAGCATGAACGCGCTGGCCAAGGAACTCGCCTTGTTACAAGTCGTACTCTATGAACCACTAGATAATGGTGACTATACCTCACGAAGTTACGAGTTGGAGGCCCACTTCTCACCGGCTGGGGCTAAAATCAGCGCCGAGGGAGACATTGCACAGGTACGTAGGCAACGTTCAATTTGATAAGTTGACCGCGGCATACTTCGTCCTCTTTGCTATGAGGCAAGGAATGAGTTCATCTCGCTGTTTGGAGTGTTAATGTAAAACAGACTGTACGATCATGAGTTGACAATCAACTAGTGGCAACATATTCATGTGAATTAGATATTTAATGTATCACAGAAGTCTTTCCCGTACGTGACAACTCGGCATTAAACCGAGGTTTGGTTTTAACTCCGCGTTCAGTATTTCACATAAACAAGGCCGCAAGACTTGTGAAATTGGAGATTTGTGTACGATTGGTTTTGCCCACGTTAAGTGTTTTGCTTGAGGGTAAACGCTGAACGGACTTGGTATTAGGGACCCTTCAAAAGGTGGATTGCAACTCCTATTTTGGTCGCTGAGGTTTTGCATAAAGTTACATTGGATGAAAAACGGGAGTGCATTAGTCTGTAATAATGGGCAACTCTATCACTGTGTTTTGCCTAGAACACTTAGCCGTGCTTTGTTCTCGCCTAAATGAACACAATAGTGGATCAATATGGGTAGTAAGGCTGTGGCACATTTTTCGGGGTATCATGCATGCTGTTTGTGGCTATTCGGAGCAGCGCACCACCGCAGTGCACGGCGTATTAACGGCACATATGCCCGACCAATTCATCTTGGCAAAAAAAAAGTACTGTATGGCACCGCCTATGAATGCAGCTGAATGTTTCATTGGTAGGATGTTATACTAGTGTTTTTGACCCGTTTTCACAATGCAAACCATAATCCCTCACAGTAGGGTTGCTTTTGTTCGGAGAGCAGCTTTTATCTGGCCATTCAGCGCTCTGATAAGGGCGCTACATTGAAACTGCGTCGAAGCAATGCACGAGTTAAACAGTTACGGCTATTCAGCGTACATTGATACGATGACACCGTGTCGCTACACCAACCAATGCATATTAAATGCAGTATTCACCCTAATTTCCATGCTTATTTTAAAGTCAAACTTCCACATCAAAGAACGAGAACAACGTTGAGATAACCTTAATAAAACTTAATGCTGGCTAAGAAAATCTTTTATATCCTTAGTAAAATTGTTATACATAGTTTCAACAAAATACCTATTTGCTTAAACCAAAATCATTTGAAATTTAATGTGCGCAAAAAATGTCACAGTTACTTATTTAATGCAAATTTTGGAACAAAGTGCAAAAAGTAACAATGTGTTGATATTTTATAATAATAACCATTATTGATCCCATCCCAAGAAATACTCCACTCAAAAACAATTGAGCTATTTCATTTGAGTTTAATTCTTTTTTTTGCAACTTGTTGCTCAAGTCGTTGTATCTAATGAATACACTAAAACTGCCTGTGCACATGTTTATGAGGTGTCATCTATTCACAGGTCTACTTCGGAATAGTCCACTTAATTTTTAATAGTTTTCTTTCTGTTGTTTACACACTGAATATGTAATTAACATTGGTTTGATGCTAAGATTGTTGACAATGCTGGGTAGTATCATAGAGACGGATTTATTAGCCCTATTTTGACTTCCTTTATTGTGTATTGTTAGTCAGCGTGAAAACTGTGTTGCAGTCGGCAGGAATGCCGTCTTCAAAGAGGTTACATTAAACTAAATATGGAGGGGGTTGATATGGCCTGTAAAGCTAAATGTCAGTGTTGGTTTGACATTTCTTGTAATCCTTTGTGTTTTCTGTTTGTTATGCGGGTGACTTTAAGTCATCTAATCATGTAATCCCACATGTTTGTACATCCATCTTCCATGGAGTCAACATGCTTATCTATATGCTATCTACATCAATACATAGTTGGGGCATGTCATATTTGCCAACTGACATCCAACAAACGAATGGTCCAGAGCGCAGAGTTGGTTGTTATTGTTGTCCGTGTACGTGGGAATTACCCGGAGAGAAAATCATAATAATTTTTTTGCATCGGTATTCAATTAGCTTTTCTTATTTTTTTTATAATCATGGTAATAGTGTGTCAGTTACCTTGGTGCTGCTGAATGAGTACCCATGTGGAGAGATATGTGATGTAACATTGCACGATTGTACATGCAGATATCTGGAAGATAAATTTTTAGTGGATTGAAAATTCAGTTTTCAACTGTCTTAAGTGTTTTTTGGACACATGACAGGTAACATTTCACTCATGTGCACATTTGGCTCAAATTTTGGCACAGTATTAAATAAATTCAAAAATTGACAAAAATGTGGTATATGTCCCTGTAATAATGACTTTAATAATAAGTTTTCATTTAATTATTTTTAATCATTTCTTTAATTTCATTATGTATTCAGACATGCTAAAATATCTTTTTTATTAGCTCCGCTATCGACTTTGTTGAGTGGAGCTTATCATATGAGTGATTTTCCGTCGTCGTCCGTGTCAATGTTTTTCTTTTTCGACTTCTTCTTGAAAACTACAAGCCTAAATGCTTTGATACTTGGTGTATATGTACCTTGAGTAGACCTCTCTTAGGTTTGTTCATTTCATATCTTCAATTCTCTAATTTTGATGAATATTTTTGTCATTTTTGGTAAAAAGTGATATTTTGACTTCTTGTTAAAAACCGCAAGTGCAACTGCTTTGATATTACATATATAGGTACTACATGTGGATCTCTCTTAGGTTTGTTCATTTCATGTTGATATCTTCAATTCTCTAATTTGGGTGAATATTTTTGTCATTTTTGGTAAAAAGTGATATTTTCAACTTCTTGTTAAAAACTGCAAGTCCAATTGCTTTGATATTACATATATAGGTACTACATGTGGACCTCTCTCAGATTTGTTCATTTTGTAATGATATCTTTAATTATCTAATTTTGGTGAATATTTTTGTCATTTTTGGTAAAAAGTGATATTTTCTTCTTGTTAAAAACCACAATCATTTATGGTGAAAAATGATATTTTTGAATTCTTGTTGAAAACAGCAAGTCCCATTGCATTGATACTATACGTATTGTTCATTTTCTAATGATATCTTCTGTTCTTTAATTGAAATGTGCATTGCTAACAGCGGAGGTATCTCAGCCGAGAGGCTGCTTGTTTTCATAGCTATCAATTTCCGTGATTTCACAAAATTTTTCAAGAAAGTCAAAGTAACTCCCTAGGACAACAGTGAACGTCACTGTGAACCCCCAGCATCTCAGTGAAAGTTGCTATCTTCTTGTCCTAAAGATCCCAATACAATTTTGCATTAGAATTCACAATGATTTGGCTCTCACGAAATAACATTATTTAAAATTATATTCAAGAAATACCTTTTACAGCAAGTTTAATGGAGATTTTCCTACTGCACAACTTTAAAATGACTTGTATGATTGTTTTTTTTTTACATTTACAGAAAAAACTACTAGTAACACAAAACTCATAGAGGCATAGACGTATGCCCCTCTAAGGTCTTGCTACTAGTAGGCAGGCAGAGGGAGGGTTTCAGACAAAGTTTGTTGGAAACCAGATGGCATATGTATTAGCTATCTAAATAAAAGCGTAATGAAAACAGTATACTTGCTTAACACTAAAGGTTAAATGATAAATTACCCTGCCCAACCTTGTGCACTGCTTTGCAAGTTTAACATTCTTCCATGGGTTTCACTATGCTGCAATTTAATTAGCAAACAGTATGTAGAGCTGTAACTAGGAGACTCAAGTAATCTATCATTTCTCGGCTTTACACTGATTTTCTCTGCCTGTTTTGGCTGATTGTAGTTTATTTTAAGGTAATTAATTTAGGGTCATTCAAAGGCTGCTTTAAAATGATAGGGCTGGTGATAGAGTTTTTGATTTCCTGTTCTGATTTTTTTCCATTTTTATACCCTCTCCCTCTTTAATGTGTGGTAATACTCGCTTTTCAAAGTAATGAAGTAATTTATGCAGATTTACTGTAAATTACTTTATTCCCACTTGAAATTTATTTTTGTTATTTTTGCTAAAGGGATGAATTGGTGAAAATCTTTTTTTTCTATATTTTACATTGAACTCGTCAATAATAAATGAAAATAAACTTTATACCAAACAGCCAAAATGTATTTTCAAGAAAAATTAATTTAAGCTAAAGTATTTAACAGTAGTTTCAGATAACCCCCTCTACTATTAATGGTTTGTCCTTTAATATCTAAAAGCCAGCATGCAACAAAGTCAAATTACTGATAATTATTTCAGTTGAAAACTGATGCATTTAAATCTCGATGCCAAAATATAAAAAAAAATCTTCGTGTCTGTAAATCATTCCCTAGACACAAAAAAAAAATGCCCAACAGGCCGACAGAAATAAAACACTCAGCCTCAAATATACTTAATTAAAAAATGTGTACCCTAAGGGTTGGAATACAATAATAGACATAGTATGTCATATGGTATGGTTCATACGTTTCTACCTGCGCAATGTCATGATAATGTGCCCATTGGCAAGCTAAAGCATGCCTTTCTAGCGTACCACAGACGTGCCAACTACTTCATTCCCCAGCTCAAAACAATATTCCTTAAAAAAAACGAGAACTGTAATCTGTAATCCAGTACAGGACTCTATGTTTGTTTGTTCTTTGTTTAAAATTCAGCAAGGCTGTGTTACATTGAGGCGTGTCATGGACATGCATCACTAGTTACCAGACCAAATGAGACTTAATAATTAATTGTAAAATATTCAAGCCTCCATATCACTGTATTTTATTATTATCAATTTTAGAATTTGAAGAAGAAAAACAAATACACGTAATTTAATGAATAATTTGAAAAAAAACATCAGACTGCTGTATCCGTCCGTGACTATAATTATCAAGACAATCCCAGCAGTTCAATTCAGTCAGGCTAACTCTCTGGGAAAACAAAAATTAACCCGGAATGTTGAAAGTACCGCTGGAAATAAGATTCTGTAATATTCCACTTTGACCCGCAGCGTAAATGCCAGCCGTATTACTCTTGGTGTGTCTGTCACCGAGAACCGAGTCCTGCCATGTAGATTTGTTAAGCGTTTCACTCATACT